AAAGCACAACTAAGTCTGCAATTGAGGATGTCCATCTTTCATTTTGTCGGTTCATTCTTGGTCTCTCAAAATTCACACCTAAAATGGCTGTTTATGGTGAGCTAGGAAGGTACCCCATTGACTGTTTTATCAAGAAACAACAACTTAAATATTTCAACCGGGTAACAAACTCTGATATCACATTACTAAGAGAAGCCTACTTAGTAAATAAGAATGTAAAAAGTAAATGGTTTACTAGTGCAGAAACCCTCATGCAAGATATAGATGTTGTCACCATTGTAAACTCAAGTGAAAAAATAATTAAGAAAAATTTAGACTTTATTCATAAAAAAATAAACAAATCATTTGAGAACCAATGGATCTTAGACATGCATAATGATAATAGAAAACAAACCTTGGCTAAAAACAAACTAAGAACATACAGACTTTTCAAACAAAATTGAAAAATTGAAAATTACCTAATTAATATGCAGAACCATGGTCTTAGAAGGTTAATTGCAAAATTCAGGACAAGCAACCATGACCTTAAAATTGAGAAAGGCAGACATAATAATGTGCCGCTGGATAAAAGAACATGTGATATATGCAGCCAAAATATAGTTGAGGATGAGCAACATTTTGTAATGAAATGTCCAGCTTACAGTCACCATAGGGACAAATTATTCCTGACTGCACAAAATAAAGTTCCAAATTTTGATAAAGAAAATAGTCAGAATAAATTCATTTTGATTATGGCAAACCATACTCTAGCACCAGCCTTAGCTGTCTTCTTAAAAACAGCAATGGAACAAAACAGCAACAACTATCAGTGTATTAGGCTACATTTTGTGTTCATTCCATATTCTGTATTCACCATTGGCTGCAAATTGTCTTTATTGTTTTTGATTTGTTTTATTTTTTTTAGAAAAGTTTTTATTTTTTGTTTTACTGATTTACTTTTTAGATTGTAGTTGTTTTTTTTAAATTTCTTTCTGTAAGACCCTTTTTATCCTTTCCTAATGATTTTATGCGTCTAATAAAAAAATATAAAAATATATAAAAAAATATAAAAATATTACGTGCAGAGAACATGAAACCCGTCCACGTGATCCATGCCACACAGCGTGGCCAGAATGCGGCAAAGGCCTTCAGATCTGGCTGTAGTCACGCACGCAGTACGTGTTTACTATAATTAGACGTAGTATTTACCTTGTCGTTTATTCGGTGTTATTTGCTTACTTTACTCCCTATGTCGACAGCAACTATGAGTTTCAATTAGTTATGTTGCACATGCACTGTGCCATAACTACTGCCCTTTAATATGAAATCTAAACTCGCATGGTGTTTCTAAAATGATATCAAGCACCATGGACATGCATACACTCACCCCAATTTGCGAAAATCACACTAAAAAAATATTCAACTTCAGAATACTATTTTCCCCATTTCATAATGTACAAATGTAGCCAGCCTACTCCAGATGATTCTGATCAACATTCTCAAGTAAACACCTGGGGGCGCTTTTGTTATATGCTGGGAACCAAATGTACAGTATTCTCAGGGGCGGACATCTGGGCATTTTCACTGCATGGCGACCATCATGGTGAAAAAAAAAGGCCGAAAACTCAGAAAACGGTACTTTGGGATGGTTGTTGAGACTCCCCTGAACAGTGTAACAAGATTGTGTGTGTAACACATATGAATTTGATTGTTCATGATTACTTCAAAGTTGTCGAATTTTTACCGGCTCTTCGTTCCATGTTCCTCAGCATCGCGCACAGAGCATATAGAAATACGTGGTACAGTGGTGCGTATCTTAGCAACATGTAACGTCTTGTGATGTAGCTCCGCCCTGAGGAGTCATTCAAATTCATGTCAAACCCCGATAACACAATGAACCAAACAATTGTCCATGTATTTGAATTTTATTCCTTCAAGAAAATTGTTTTCCATATACTGCACCCTGTGTACTCTACTAAAGTATTTATAACATTATCAGCATTCTACAGGTAAAGTCTTCACATTACATTATAAAACATTTGCATCTTTAAAAATATAAAAAAAAAAAATGTATACAGCACTGTCAATTTTACATCCATGCAGAACACAGTCCAGGATAATTTTCAACATTATTTCTCGCACTTTCAATAAAAAAAAAATTGCAAAGAGATAATAATATGACATAAATATCAAGTTACATAATATATTTACAGAATCTAACATCACATAATTTCTTTCTAACTTTCAAAGTTCATGGTCACAATTTGGCATTATACACAATTTACAATTATTAAAACTTATTTTTTTTAGCTATATTATCGACTTGCATTATTAGACTCAATATATCAAAAATATATCTTTATATGTAACCATTTCACCCACAGTAATTTCATACTTCAGTTATTTTCTGTCATTGAAATTTTTAGAACACCAATTTAGCTTATCATAATCCTAATAATGGGTATGTGACATAGTGCGCAATTTGAGTTAATATTATTTTACTTCACATGATAATAAACGCTCAGAAATGTATCAGAAAATAGCAAAAAATAACATCTTCTCAGACATTAAAAAATTATAAGTTTCTCCTGGCAAACTCTAGCAATAAGTCATGTTTAAATTTACTATTCAAAAACTGATATATGATATTTTAGAATTGTCAAATACAAAAATGTTCCCATGCAAACGATTTCTTCAGACACAACGAGAAAAAAAAGCATGTGACTGCTGAAAAAAACATTGAAATTTCATTGCAGTCTTCATTAAAAAAAATGTCAAAAATTCAATTTATTCATTATTGTGATTAATAACATTGCACCATTTCCATTGTCGTTTTCACGTTCTGACCACCACAGCCGAGGATGGCCGACCAATACGAACGTATCTCTTTTTATTACCTAATAAAAATAAAAAATAAAAATAAAGTCAGTTTATTAAGTTATTCTGGTCATACTTTTTATTATATTTATCAAGTGAAGTATTAATAATCACACTTAGATATAAAATATATAAAAAAAATGCGAATTAAAATCTTTATTACCATAAAGTCAAATAACGACGATTTGCTGGGCATTCCAATTGAACATTGAACAAGAATGTCATTCACTTCTGTAATTGATTTCTAATTTTACCGACTTCGGTGACACCAAGTCAACAGTTTGACTAAAATGTTGCAAAACTGCTCATAAAAAAAGTTTATAAATTCACTTGTAAAGTTAGGAACTAATTACAGAAGTGCTGAACATTGAGACAAGTTTCATTGTAACTACTGTGAATAAGATAAAAAGTGTGTGAAAATAAAGACCATAACTTACACCAGCAAAGTGCAGTGACTAGAAGTGTGAAATAACAATCAGTCAAGTATATCTGTAATATATACAATACATACTGAGCTGTCAAGTTCATAGCATGCAGTGTTCAAGTGTACTTCCATTCCCTCTAAGTCTAATTTTGTGAAATTTTCTCTGTGAGAAGGCTAAGTTTCTCAGTGAAAACTGCTAATCTGAGAAACATGACTTTCAAATCAAGTACACCTTATTTTGGTGGTTTTTCACAACAAATCCGAATGACAAAATTGCTTAGGGGGAACAGTGACACAGATAGGAGATAGAATGACATGCAACATCAATAAAACTGAAAAAGTGTTGTGTGTTTTAATTATGTGAGTGTGCAGTTCTGTGCTACACCTCCCTCATCGCAGAATGTCACCCGTTTCCCAAAGGCTTGTTTAACATTTTTCAAATCGGCCCAATAGTTTTTGCACATTCGGGAACAAAGGCTGTGATAATTAATGCATTTATTTTTTTGCAATGCAACATTGTAATTGTATAGTGTTAAATTAGCTTATCATTCAAGTTTTCACCCCTTTTTTGTCTGTACACTTGATGGTGACAACAGTGATTACTCAAGCATTAGACTTAGTTTTACTTTTTTTTCATATGTGGTATCAAGATGAATAAAACACAATGTAAAAGGTTCAAGGAAGACTGAATCAGCTCTACTCACTTTCTGTCTGTTTTTTCAGTTTAGAGTGTGTGAGATCCTTCTCGTGCGGCTTTGGCGCCTCTGCGTACATTGCCCTGAAGGACCTTGATTGTTGTAGGTAGTTTCTAGCTAGAGCGATTTCTCTACCAAGCGCTTGTAGATCATCTCCTTCAAAAATGGGGATTTCTGGTTGCTGTAACAAAATAAACAGAGGGTTTAAAGTCAAATTATTGTCTTGCTGAAATATAAATATTTTATTCACAAGTAGCGTAAAAATACATTTTTTTGGTTTCATCATTACTTTAATATTCCTTGATGTCACAAGAGTTTTTTTTATTATTATACAAAACTGATACAAATAAGCCAGATGTCTACGAGTTTTACCACATTTTCATCTTAATGCCAGTGAAAAAAATGTGAAACTTTCTAGAAACACTAACTGCATCACATATAGCAGACACTGTGGTACATACAACACATAGAGGGTGCTGTATACATTTCCCTTTACATGGTTATTGTGAATAATGAAACAAAATGAAAATAAGGAACTATGCAACATTCCACACCCTATAGCCTAGCTAAGATTTATTTTATGAACTGACCTCTGGGTCATCAAAGCCTTCAGAGAGTAGTTTATGTGCAAAAAGTTGTCCATCCCTCTCAGCATTGCAGCGATGAAACCTTCCCCTTGACATGGCTGATAGTTGCCTCAGAAAGATATTAGCAGATCTGTAAAAACAAATGACAACATCAATCAATCCTATACAATTTCAATGTTTGTTTTTGGTTAAAGTGGAAATAGCTGCAATTATTTTCCTGTGTCATTAGTGTCAATTTGTATTGGCCATCGCAGAAATGTAAACACTGAAAGCATATCATATGTATTGCTGTATATTAAATCACTTACAAGTGAAAAAAGATGGCAGCATGCCAGATCTCTAGAGGCGCCATCTATTAAAATCCAGTTATGTCAAAGCAAACCTCAAGGTTTACTGGGACCCTGAGCGAAATCATTGCCAGTTTGAAAGGCTAAGACTCCCTCTTTCAGCCTCTCACTGGTGATTTTATGTGCCAATTATATACATGTCGTATATTAATTTTTTTTTTGTCTTCAGTCTCTTATCACAAGACTGATTTCAACAATATGACAACTACTCGACTTTTAGTTTTCACATTGCATTATATGTGACATGAGCCTTGTGTACAGTCACTTTGCCTATTCAATTGTGTTTAAAACAATTCTGCAGTAAAATTTGACATATTTATATGGTTATATTGTAACAAAAAAATGTTCAGAATCGCAGCTATTGCCACTTTAACATACAAAATAAAAGCAATACTCTTTTAAAAGACTCACTGTATAATTTATAGTTTTGCTACATAGTATGAATGCATTTTAAAATATGGCAAAGATAAACTTCAAATAAAGAACACAGCATGCTGTTACAAAGAATTACTTACTCATCTTGACAATTGAATGATATCGTGTGAATCTTGACTCCGCGAGTGGTGTTCAATCTGGCAATCTCCTTAAGTACAAGTGATGTGCTGCTGTCGGGTTTGCCGTCAGTGAGTAAGTACACACCGTCAATATTGCGGTCGTTGAAAGCTTCCTATAAATACATAAATAAAGAATAAATTTTTATCAATATATGCGAAATAGAATTCGCAAAGTCCAAGCAAGCTGACAAAATTTGACACACATGGAGATGTTCCTTAACTTTCCAGTAATCTAAAGCATGCAACACTGGAATTAATTTATGAAACCTTACATGTACTTACATAAAGTGCTTCCAACGTACAGGTGTTGCCACTGGCAACAAAAGTGGAAACCCATCTTACAGCATCGTGACAATTTTCCTCAAGAGGATCAACTATCTGATGTCGCCATTTCTCTACATTGCCGGAGAAACGAATAATATTGAATCTGAGAAAATAGAATAAAGGATTGTATCAAGTCAGGAGTATGAAACAAATTGGGAAAATTAACTTTTTACCAATTTATTTTTAATAATGGAATTTAAGATTACTAAAATTAGAATTCTCACCATTATGTTTTTTTTAACCATACTTGATTAACTGCTCTTAAAAATTATAACTTGTATTATAACAGCAGATGATCATTAGGAAACTTACTTGATGTTTTCTCGCTGGAACTGATCCCAGATGAGTGAGACCAATTCTCTGACCAGTTCCTCCATGTGTGAGACCATGGAACCTGATGTATCTACTAAGACCACTACTCTCTTTTCAGTGACGGTACCAAACACTCTACGACTTCCACTCAACAACCACTGTAATCGTTTCAGGTATCTCCTGAGTACGCATTCCACCTGCTCTTCATACTCGATCAGTTCATGGGCTTGCAGCTGAAGATGTTTGACTGTACCCTGTAAGTATGATGATAGAAGAGAAAACATTGAATATATATATCTCTATGTAGCTATGGGTTGGCGATACACATATTCATATAATTGTACATGTCATCAAACAAAATGAAGATATTATTTTGACAAAGTAAGCTTGCTTTTCAGATTACATAATTTGCATTATTAATTATCTTTCACAGTCCAACACTCTAGATCTGTCCACACAGCCATGATTCACTGATAAAACATTGATGCATGTAATCCCTTTATCCATCAAGATTTCTACACAAGTTGTGCACTGCCTACATAAAACTAATCTGTCTCATGACAATCTAATGTTTGCTTCGACAAACACTAAATAATATCTACATGTTACTGCTCAAATTAACATGTAATTTTCAATGATCATGGAATGCCAGGGTCATAAACGTTACTAATTTATTGTTTTTCCATGATGCCTTTGCCAAGAATGGCAAGTATATCTGTTTATTGGTGATATCAGGACCCACTTGAGTGCAATGTTAGTCAAACACATGTTAACGTTTCTTGATATGTTCTACTCACCTTGATGTTCACACTCGGGAATATACTACAGTATCTGTTAAAAAATTAAAAAAATAAGCAAAATTTTAAGCTCTGGCAATATATTTTCATTCAATACATAATAACATGTTGTGTATTTATTAATTTCTACATAATAGGGAATAACTTAAATACTAGAGTTGCAGAGCTACTAAACTAGACACCTGAAAGTACTCAGGTTAAATCGACAGTATACAACAAGCTAATTATTAGAAGTTTATTTGTATACTCACTTTGCTGAGACATTCTTTCCCAGTGCCCCTACATGATTTTTGACATGTGCACAGTCTGGTCCTGACACTAACTTATTCAAATCTAATCTGCATTTACTCAGGCTGTATTTTTTCAACCACTGTATTAAAGATAGAATGATTAGAATAATTCAAACAACAGAATGCAGTGGAAATGACACTGAGACGTTCATTAGGAAGCCACTTTGGTGAAATTTACTCATCACAGAGGGCAAACATTTTTTTTGTGGCAAGAAGTTAGTTGAACTTTTATTATATTTGTTAGAAGCTTACCTCTTTTGATGCCTTGACGTCTTCTCTGTCCGGTATGACTGGATGATTGATTGTTTTTCTCACACTCTTCTTCTTCTGCAATATGTCTGGATATTGTCTGTACATCACACCCACGTCATTTCGACATTCCGTGTAGAAAGCTTCGTGTGATGGACGTATTTTGTATCCTGAGTTAGGACGTTTCTTCTTTTCAGGTTTTGATTTGGCTGATGATGGCCTTCCATTGATAGGTGCTAAAATATTTGAATCAAACAGAGTTAGTATACTCATAAGAAAAGTTCACAAACTGCATTCATTTCAGAAGGATTTCAGAAAAATGATTTTTTTCACATAATCAACAATTTTGTACTTACGCGTTGGTATCAGGTCTTTCTTATTGGCACTGACAGGCCTCCATACTGAGGTTTTGTTGCAGTTATCATCTTTGTCCAATTTCTCTTTTTCCTTAACTTGACTTTCTGTGATTTGCTGAAAAAAAACAAAAAACATATATCTAGTAACCTTTTCACAAAACAATTCTGCATTTTAATTGTTTTTGTATGTTCAAACAATTTTTATCAAGGCCTGAAGCAAATGAAATGTTTATTTGACCTAAAATGCTTCACAAACAATTCAGCAGGGAAAATTATCACATCTTGAGGAATAAGTTATTAAATGTGTTGTTTATCTCTTGTCCCAACTGTTTATTGTACATATATATTCATAATTATAATAAAACTTGTAATCATATTTCATTAATACCAGTATATTTATAAAATTTATTGGAGGTAGGGTTATCTCTAAGGACACAACGTTCTCTTTTTCCACATGCAATATCATCTTATATTCTGAGCTGCTTTTGAAGTTTCACCTTTATCAATATGTATCCTCATTGCATTGTAGTATGAAATGACAAAATCTCTTGAGATACAAGGCGTGAAAGATGTGGAGAGGAAGAACAACTGCTTACACTTACCAGCCTTGCTAACGTGAGTTTAGTGTGTTCTGGTGGGATGAACTGCTTCTTCTTGGCAGCGGATGAGGGTCTCAATGGTAGCATCTTCATCTCACCACAGCTACCAGCTTCAAGTTGTAACTACAAAACAGGAAAATATATTCATTAATAAAGTGATAACTGACACTGCTGAGAAACAAGAATTGACATGGGTTATAAAAAACCCATAATATCATTTTATTCATTTTATACTCACATAATCTAATGACTTCTTTTTCACTGATTCTACCAACATTGCACACTGTAACAGAAACAAAACATTACAGTAATCATAATTTACATATTAAAATATACTTGATACAATTATTACTGAAAAAGCGTTTTGCGTTTTGTGTTCTACAGTACAAACCACACGTAGTGCACGATGCTTTGTGCAGAATGACAAAAGAAAATGCAATGAATCGTCTGTTCAGCCATCATAGAAGAAGAGTCATATCTGCCATTCAGTGTGGTGTGTATTTTCACAGAATGAAATTATACAATTGTAAGTTTTCGACATATTTTATTTGAACTTATGATGCCCATTTTATGTCACTGGAACACATCAACTCATCAAAATGTTTAGATTATTGGTTGACCAATATATTAAACCTCAAAACATACCAGTAATGTTAGAAATACAATTCATACAGCCCTCGTTTGACTTAGAATCTGAAACAGGAACTATTTGCCTGGAAAATATTTTTTTTTATTCAGCGTTCTGTTTTTATTTATAATAACATTATCATTTGCACTTATTAAATATTTCAACATATTTTAGACAAAATCTAACACATTTATCCTGATAAAACACACTTAGTAGAGCGTCGATCAGTTATTCAATTGTGTTATACAAATGTCTACTATGTCGACCTTTTCTTGTGATGCAAAGTGCAAAATGCAAAGCAAACGTTTTGTTTACTGTACTGAGAATTAGCACAATTAGTTGCACCACGGCAAATTTGTGTGTGTTAGTCTCAAGTTTTATTGGCTTAATAGAGGTTACACTGTTTCACTGAACTGAAAGAGGGCACTCTACAGCAATGAAGCTGGAATTTTTCCACTTGTACATGTTGCATTCAAATAAATGTATTCATGGAAAACAAATCTGTCCAGTTGTTTGTACCTACCTTCTTAGAGTAATTAACTGATTTGTCCATTTCGCTCAGTATTGCCTTAATGTCGTCGCTTTCAATAATTCCGGTTTCTCTGAACCAATGAAATCGACCACCTGTGATATGAGCCATGGTACGTAGGCAGTCAGCTGTCTTGCTAATGTTAGCATATCGTCCTGGGATGGCACCGTTCACGTCGTAGTCGTCGACATTGAACAAGATTGTATGCAATGTAACCGAGTGCCCTGCGGTAGCTTCCTGGATATAGGAGCATGCAACATCAGTCATCTGATCAGGTATCCCACTTGTGAACAAGTACATGCCTTCCACAACTAAAAACAATAGAATGAATGTTAGCCAGATTATATTGTATATTGAAATTGGGACTCATACACAAGTATTTATGAATTAAAACAACCGGAGAACAACTATTCTGAGCAAGTTTATGGCTTGAGGTTTTCCTTACTTCTATTGTATTTCTGATCTTCTTCGTTCTCCAGTGCCATTCTCAGAGCCCCCATGAAATTTCTGCTTCCACTGCATTCCAAGCCCAGAATCCACCTATTAAAAGAAACAACACTTATGTTTGAGAACAGTGGTCGTCCTTTTGTATGTGCCATCATTTTCAAGTTAAATGTGACATACTACCGGTAGCATAGAGCATGTAAGCAGCACTGTTTCATTACGCCGAACCAGTGATGCACGGTAACCCAACATTGAACTCTTTCAGCATTCTATTTCCTATAACTGTCTACAATTTTACACTGACTTTAAACCAAACAAACAATATTGCTATTACAAATTTGAATACAAAATTTTAAGATTCTTATTCATAATTGCCATCAGAAGTGACACTAGTTGATGAAGAAAGATAAGGGGTAAATTAACTATACCACACCTCTGTAAGAAATGTAAACTTTAACATTAACAGGACTATCTATTTTAAAATTCTCACCTCCAACATGACTGTAGATTTTTCTCTGATGGTTCCTGCATACCAGTCTTCCAAGCAGTTGGTTCACTACCAAATCTAAAACATAACAGCAAGATCAATAAGAATCAGTAGATAGAAACCATTGTGTCATCAACTGAAGATAGATATAATCAATGTACACCTTTTAACCAACAAAATTGTGAATATACGCATGTCAGGTTTTTTCCCTACTTACCCAATAATATTGATATACTCCTTATTGGCCATCTGTTGTTCTAATAGCATTCTCAGTGAGTGCTGAATATGGACTAAATAATTAGTGTTTGCACAGGACAGGTCTACCAAGATGATTATTCTGTGAATAAATTTGTGAAATGGTGTAATTATCCAATTGTAATCATGGCATATAAGGCACAGTGAGTAATTGCATAATATGATTATCATTATTACTAACCCTGCCATATATATACATAGCAAACCAGTCAGCAAATCAGCTGACAATGTTGCTATTATTGCGTACAAAACAGCATGACAGTAATGACCACTGATAAATCAAGCATTGATATAAGAGATATGAATGTATGACAGAACTGACCTCTTTTCAACAATTGTGCCAAATATCCGGCGTGAGCTTTTGGACAACCAATCCACTCTCTTCTCGAATAATTTAACTATAGTGGCTAGCTTCTTCTGGTAGTCGTACAGTTGCGTGGGATCAACATGGACATTTTTCACTGACCCATCGTGCCACTGGAATTGAGCCATGGCTTTCTGTAGTAGCGAAAAAAAAAAAAAATTATGAAAATGTTGTTTTCCATCATTGATACATCACACATTAAATTTGTTTTAAAGTATTCATTTAAATTAATTCTGACCACTGGAAATGATGATTTCTATTGTAACTCTACATGTTCAAATGGTTTGAATTCAGTGGATTTCAGAAAAAAAGTATAAAATTAATTCCTATTTTGGTATTTAGAACATGTGTACTTGTATACAATTGTAAAGGGATGCTTCATTACTGATATTGAATATGTTTTCACAAATGTAAACATTGAAGTCTGCGCTCTGGAATAGACACCTCATAAATGAACCACTTATAAACAGAGCCTTCCACCAAGCAAACAGAATGTGGTACTACGTACCTCATGTACAGTTGAAGACACAACTTTCTTGATGATTGGGATAAACTCTTCTAGTGGTGCAAAGGCATTAGGAGCCAGAATCTGATACAAACTCAGCTTCTTGGCTCTCAGTCCATTCATCTTTAGCCATTCATCCGATGTCTTTGGTTGGAATGGTGGGATCTCAATGTTTAGAGTTCCTGAATGGTTTGGTGGTCTGGGTAAGAAACGAGACGCTGGCAGCTTCTGTACTTCTAGAGAAATCTGAAATCAATCAATTAGACAAAGTTTGAACACCTGGTGTTTATCAGTTTTCAAGCCAAAATATTGGGTCACATTTTCAACATCTTTAATTTTTCTCAAACATACACATACTATACTTCCCCTACAGTGAATCTGTGAGTCAACTATTGCCTGAGCACATGGCTTGTATACTACTTACCTCGTTCAATATACTGACAAGTGCATCTCCCATCATGCCTTGCCTCATCTCTTTGATCTTATTGATGACTTCCTGTGCTTTTTTGATTTCACGTAATAGAAAGGTGATGTCTGTACCGGTGTATATTTGCTCCTGGGTACAAGAAACAATTACAGAATTACACAGAGATGCAAATTACGAATAAACAATGCCTGACTACTTGGTAAGAATAGAGAATAAAATACAAACAGATTTCAGTGTAAAATTATCATGGATCTAGACTCAACAGATTTTGGTGAATTGTTTTCATCATTATTATCGAACTCTTACCTCACATGTTGAAGCGTATACATGATATCTTCCACCAGAGCACTCGGCTAGCTTCCTTAAGGTCAACTACAAATTGAAGAAAATCAAAATATTTTAATCAGTGGTTATTAAATAGATAAAAGATATAAATATGGGAGACTCTAGAATTAAGTAGAATGTGCAGCATATAAAGAGCATTGGTCATCATGATGTGTTCTGTTCGATATGGATCTCATATGTGGCATGTACAACGTGTGTAAAATGCATTGTTTACACAAATTCAACCACATGCCTTCATGCCTTTTAAAGTAATGACACGGTTGAAAAATGGGACATTTTGGGGAAAAAAATTGAACTGAATGCTTCCATTATTACATACGGGTAAACATCAATTATCCGAACGTATGCTATGTCATAAATAACCCAAAATAATTTTCACCCAGTTACAAGTGTTCAGATAAATTGAGGTTTAACTGTAACTATTAATATACACAGATTGCAAGTAAAAATAGACACAAACGTTCTACAGATTAAAGCTAATACATGCAAGGTACATTTGATAAATCACATGGCATTAATTCTCATTTCTGAGTATTGAACCTTAAACGCAAAGTAGCTTTAAAGCTCTCAGCAGCAACAAAAAGCCCTTGAGTGTATGCTGGAATGAGATGTAATGTATAAGATCTAATGTACCATAAATGCATGGATGCTGAACACAGACTAAACCACACACATACATGTATGACTATAACCACTCTAGTCCTATAGTTTACAACTACAGGGACAACTCTACCTTGAGTTTCATTTCTGCCTCTGGCCTCTTATTAAATGCAATGCGATTGAAAGAAGAATTAATGAGACAATGAAATTATTAGGAAATGGAATATAAATAAGAAAATGTATTTTACAAGAATGACTGAAAATAGCACATTTAAGAATCACTAGTCAAACAGAGTATGATGAACAGCACACACAATGTGAACAGACACACACACACACATACACACACACACACACACACAGACACACACAGACACAGACACAGAAGCATGCAGATTATAGTAGGCGATATATAGTAAACATTGTCCTGCATAACTACATAATGGTTATGGACTGCATTCAATTCTCAATCCAGGCACATGCATTTTATTCATGCAGTCAGTACACTGCCATCTATGTTAAATCATATTTTGCAGTCAAATTTTAGTGTATTTATTTGTTTTCTGTAATTGTCAATAAAAAGTAAAAGTCTATACCCCCATGTGTTCAAGTCATTGTAAAAGTACATAAATGTAGGACTGACAAAAATTAGGGCTTAATCAAGTGAGCAAAATATGATTGTGTTTTTAAACTATTTTCTGGAAAGTAACAAGAGCTGAGAATAGCAGTGATGTAGTTCATTTACATGCCCCATTACACAGTGTTTTATCATGCATATTTATTACAAGGAGTCACATGCTTGAAAAGAAGGTGATTTTATGCACTAGAGACTTACATTGGTCAGGTGGTTACTGCAGTCATATGCCACGGTGTGTAGAGGTTTACAGTCACCGATATTCAGCTGTTCCACATAGTCACAGAGAACTTCAGAACTTTGATCAGGACTGTACAGAAAAAGAAACATAAGATTTTGTTTTTGCTGTTCTAGATCCTATACAACTAACAAATATACAAAAGAGGAATTTGCATTCTCATAATAAGTAAAACTAAATATTCAACAAATAAATAGACACACATAATGTAAATATTATATAGACTGTCATTATTTGCTTGGTTATTCAGTTATTCAGATAGGTTATAACTAATGTAAAATTATAACAGTAGAATATGACAGATTTTCCCAGTTATTGTTAAAGCTACTGATCCATTAGTTTATCTAAATTATTATGTTATTTTCTAACAAATCAGCAATTGTATTATGTATAGTCCAGAATAAAGTTTAATGCATTGTATAAAATAGAATAGAATCAGTTTGGAATGGAATAAGATTTTCTACTTCCATTCAAACCATTAACACAGTTTCATTCTCACACAAGTTTCAAGAAAATCACAATTATGTCATAGCAACAACCAATTTGCATCAGTAATATTAATTGTGACAGAATTATTGGCAAAAAAAGTTGAAACTTTAAAGCAGTCTAGAAATCTCAATCGCATTATTTGTATGCATTTTGCCATATTGGAAACTTTTTTTTCCCCCAACCCAGTAGTTATCCAGGGTCATGAATGGAACACTGATTAGAGATGCAATATACTAAAACTTATTATGTAAACTTACGTGTTGCCGAGAACAATTATAATTGTGTCAATTTCTTTCATTTTAAGGACTTTCTTCAAAGCAGCTAACAGATTACAACCACCCAGACCACACATGTTATTTACCCAATTCCTGGCCTCATCAAGACTGAAATTAAAATAACAATTAACAATATGAATGGCATTGAATATGACAAATATTATCATTCTAAATCTACACAGTAATTGTAGGTACCGGTATATACACATACAACACTGATACAGGTAAAATATGAAGAAGGATGTATACAGCTAACTAGAAAAATTCAGAAAATTCAAAAACACTTCACTTGATATTTTGCTGAACGAAAGGTTCCATTATATGGATGAAAAAGAACAAGTGAAAAACAAGGTATTCAAATTTGTTTCCATGGAAACAATGTATGTTACAATGTTACAATGTACATTACTTTGTTTCCATGGAAACAAATTTGAATCATCAGCATCAGAAGTTTTGCTTTGAACTGAAAACTGGTGAAAATACAAAATACTTTCAAATAGCTGGCCACAGGGAATAGCTTGTCAAAATGAGTCAGAAATGAGTTAGCAGCATCCATCTCAAACTACTAGTATCCTATTGGCTCAAAATAAAATATGTTTGACAGTATCAATATTAACACTTCATACATAGCAACTTGATAGCAACATCTTAAATTGTTTAATATGCTCAGAAATTCAATAGTAGTACTCACATTCTGTAATTAACATATCGTGGTGTGTCCCATAATGATTCTACTTCAGTACCAAATGATACAAAATACAGCATTTCTTTTGAGTGTAGCTGTTCATCTATTAAACTCTGAAACATAGCAAACATGTATGAATGAAAACTGAATTAATGGATACAGATCTTGAGGTAGTTACTTTTATAAATGACAAATAACCCTTACACACAAAAGCAAACTTTTTTCAACTTTACAAAAAATAAACTTGCATGATATTTCCAAAATTCAAGTTCAATTTAAAATTCAAAATTAACATAGAAAATTGCAAAATATTTTGGAGGAAAAAATTAGGCCATTCATGGTGGTAAAGCAATAGAGAACATTACACTAATACATTCACCTTTTTGATAATCACAGTGATACTGTGTCGTAATTCAGATAAATATATAGATTACATTATTTCTAAGTCTTACCATGACAGACTGCTGAAATGTATTGAGTCTTCCAAAGCCACAATTAGCATCTGAACTGTCAACAACCACAGCTACTTTAGTTCCTTTCACCATACCAAATATCTACATATATAGATACAACACATAATGAGTAATGTTTAAAGCGAGAGGGTCGTCACCTGCGCACGCATGGGAATCGAGTCCCAAGCAACAATAACAACACACGCTAAAAATGCAAAGGCTTATGGGTAGTTGCTTGGTAATAAACAATGACACGCTATGGCCATCTGACGCATGCGCAGGTGACAACTCCCCAGCTTTTAACTAATTGAATCATGGAAAAATAATTATTTTTAGAGTGGCTGAATCGTCAACAGATAAATTAAAATTATTGGAGCGTGGAAATATTTCAAACAGAGAAAGTGTGAAATATAGAAACAAAAACAAAGCCTCCAACAAGTACTAGTTTTAATTCACATCATCAAACATATAAGTGGATCATAGTATCTGAATGTGATCATTTCAGGTTGTTGAATTACTGAATGAAAAATTACAAATTATTGTTTTGACAGAACTATTGGAGAGAGGGGTTACACTATGAATTTCTGAAATATAGTATTATGTCTAATGTATCAATAATTTTAATTTTACGACACAAACACTCAAGTTTCAGTATAAAATATTTTATTGGCATAAGGGACGCAAAATAATTAATAAGAAAAATGATTACCAAATATAACCTTCTATAAAACATTTAGTAAAGTACTGTTCACTGCTATGTATTGCTCTATAACTTGTAACATCTACATGTATTATACTATTGCTACAATATTTAAATTATTGTATATTTATTTATGTTTAAAGGAATTTGACAAGATTAACTTCCTAAGGCTATTTCAAATTCCTTTTACCTGTAAATATAATTTTTTTTTTCTATTTCAGAAATTATATTCTTCACGAATAATATGGGTAATAAACCATCATATCATATCATATCATAAATGCATTCATTATTTATTTGCCAATTATTCAAAAAAACATTGACACCCATAACTTTTTTAGACAATTCTACCATTATCCGAAGTACCATTTGGTGACAACAATCAAGGTAGAAAACCACCTGTCAGAGGCAATCACTGACAGGAAACCATACTCATAATGAATAAAGTGCCATTTATAATTATTTTATACCTACCTTTTTACTTCCTTTAAGGAGCCATTTTATTCTGTTGTGATACATTTCAATAGTTCTGTAGGTCAAAGGTTAAAGGTGAATGTGATTATGTATTCTGGAGATAAAATAAAAACTGCAGGGTTCTTTGACAATTAATTAAATCATTATGAAACAATTTTAGAAAATTTGAAAACCACAATTTAACTAAAATACAAACAATTTGTAAATTGATGATCACCAGCAACAGTTGTTGCGTCGGTCTGATAATCAACTACTGTGAAATACTTTATTTTAGCTGGAATTAATTTTCGCTGAAAAGGCTTTTTAGGCGTTTTGTATGGAATTTATTTTCACTGCTTTTTGATGAGTTGAATGTGAAATATAGGAAAAAAAAGTATATTTGCTGGATTTTATTTTCACGGAATCATCCCTTCAGCGAAAATAGCGAAAATAAATTCCAAGTGAAAATAAAGTATTCTACAGTACCCCATGGGTGAATGTCCCATGCACTCATCCACTGGTTATTATTTTTTTTTTTTTTTTTTACAAATGTGACTTTGAAAGAATAATGTCTGCAGATGTCCAGGTTTTATTAAATAATTACTGTAGAATACTTTATTTTCGCTTGGAATTAATTTTTACTATTTTTGCTGAAGGAATGATTCAGTGAAAATAAAATTCAGTGAATATAGCTTTTTTCCTATATTTTACATTAAACTCGTCAAAAATCAGTGAAAATAAATTCTATACAAAACACCCTAAAAGTCTATTCAGCAAAAAATAATTTCAGCTAAAATAAAGTATTCTACAGTAGTATACACAGAAGATAATTTGACACAAAATATTACAGATATAATACATTCCATATAATGACATGTTTTATGAAACTGTCAAACTTTGTATTCATAATGCATACAATCTTAAGTCAATACATGTAATAATGTTGACTAGACACGCACAGTGAGCAGTAAGTAATCCCCATCATTCGTATCATGTTCATTTTGGATTAATAATTTGTTTTTGATTAAAAATGAAATCCTAAAATTCTCTTTGCTTCATACTTAATTCGGAAAATTAAATGAGCATTTATGGTCGACATGGGAACAGCTGTAACTGCACCAAAATAATGGCAGTTACTATCGTCACAGCATCGAAATACACTTTAATTAATAATGGGACTTAAAATACTGATGGAAATTGTGCAAATCAACTGATAAATAAATGGAGAAGAATAAAAAACACCATCAGTTGGCAATGTGTTAAACAGTAGACAGTACAGATAAAATTGTTTTTAGACATTGTTCAGAATACCTCTGACCAACCATCAGGAAGCCAGGAGAGTAAACAAATGCGTTGCTAAGTAAGAAATTGATATGACACTGTCAAATGAAATAGGCTATTGTGCATCAATACAAACTGATCGCATGGGTGTTGCCTACCTATTGTGCACTGTGACCTCAGTGAAGTTTTGACTCCATTCAAATAGAAATCGATGCAATAGCAAATGACAATAGTTGACCAATGTATGTATGCATGTAAAGATTGCAATATTGGCAATTTTAACTTGTTCTTGTTTTCTAAATATTATAACAATAATAATAATACCTGGTAGGTCTTTTTTATTTCCTGATAGTGATAGAAAGTAAATTGTTGGTACTCACTCATGTAATCTGTATTCAAATTCATTAACAACGCTTGCTTCAAACTGTAAATGCTGGACAGGCTTCTCACCAGAGTAAGCCCTTGAAGGGGGAGGTCTGTGTAATAAAAAAAAAATATTCATTTATCTATAGAGTTTTTGTTTATTCTGTGTGTATATATGTTTAGGTACATTGACCAGTTTTTTTAGTATTGAATAGTGCATATTCTTTAAATCTATGTATATGATCTTTTCTTTAAAATGGAATTTGCACTATCCACTTAAAACCATGTCCAATAAAGTGAACAGTTTTAATTCCAAGAATGACAATGCTTTATGAATTTGGATTCACAGTGACTTTCTTGTAATTGAAAAAAAATTAAGACAAATTGATGGCAGACATGTACTTTAAATACAGACGTAAATTAATGAATGACAAATATAAATAAATAACAT